TAAAATAAGTAAGAACTAGACAGTGTCTGTTCTACCCAATTTTTTCTTCTGTAACATTTAAATCATCTCAGTTTATTTGGTGGCATTAGAGGAGATTATGGTGTTCAAGGGAAAGGCAATAGTGAAGTTGTCATCCCAAGTGTGCAGAAAAAAAGTGATAAACTTAAAAACAATTTTTATAACTTTAGTTTCTTAGCAACTTCAATTCATAGATAGGCCAGATATGCTTCAAAACAAGATTTGATTCAAAATTGTTAGACAAAATATGTATATAGTAACTTTATTAAAATGCTACAAAATGTTTTTGCCTCTTTCATGCTTATATACTTTAACAGTACCTATGTATAAATTTTGGTTCCCCTTTTGACAGAAAATGGAAAAAGGAAGTTTTAATTCTCCACTGCATATTAAGTAAAGGTTATAGGCATTATTACTTTTGGTCATTTCATTCTGTAAACAATGTGGAGGAATCTCAGATACCTTAGATACAACATAAAATGATGATTAATTTATTTAAGTTCATAACAGAGTACATCTAAGTGATCAACATGAGCTTTTATAAAATGTTTGCCAAATTGAATGCTGTTACAAACCTCATCAGTAAAATTCATGTTTGAATCCACAAGTTTCAACTGACTTTGCATCAGGTAAAGAAGTTTTACAGCCTGGTTCACTAAAGGAAAAAGGTATCAAATAGGCCTTGAATTTCCCTCACTGACAGAGAAATGATTCATGCTAGTTTGAAATTCTTTTACCCATTAGCTTTCTCTTAAAACTGTCACTGCATTTGTTTGGTGTATCATAAAATTTTCACAATGATTTTCCTAATCTTATTTTAAAAAAAAAACATTGAATGATAAAATTTTTAAGTTATGGTTGCAGAGGTTTTCAGACTGACAGACAAACAAACTATTAGGCAAAAAGACCTACAGGTAGACATACATATATAGTTAGAGACACTGACTGACTGAGTCTCAAAGTTAAAGAGGCAAACAAACAGATAACACAGGCACAGCTAAGCACAGATGGACCAACTGATTATCAAAGAATACTCACCTTTCTCATCAATTAGCCACTGAAATGCTAAAAGGCAGCAACTCAACACAAAGGGGCCACACCCAATAGATCTCTTGATCAATTCCTTAAACAATGCTGGTAGAAGTGAGTCTATAGTACACTCAATGTTTGCTGGACCAAAAAGATGTATGTTGCTAAAGTCCTCTTCCCCTTGGTGACAAGGTTCTATTCTGAATGCTGCAAGTGCTGCACATGTTGAAGAAACAAATATGAACCAAATCTGGTTGGTACAACCAAAAGTGAGGGAAGAGATTATGGAGGAAGGATGGGATCAAGAAAAAAATTAGCTTTGAAGTTATAAGCATATAAAATTCAAACTTGTTTAACCCCTGAAAAGAGACAGAAATTCAATTGATCTCACAAGGTGTTAATTCTGCAGGTGTAGAATAATAAATATATATTTTTGAGTTTGTAAAACACTGTAAATTCTGGTATGCGTACATACCTCTACAGATGCTTTGGTGGAGTATGGCAGCACTTTTGTGAATACCTCCAATGCTCACATTCATCTGGCCTTGTAACAGCAAGTGGCACAAATTATACACAACTGCTTGTTCATAGCAAATGAATGCCGTATCTGGTGGAAGGCCTATAAAAAGGTAAAAATAGTTTTACTTGTTGTAGGATAAGTCTGTGATTAACAGCCAGCATTTGGACTGGTTTGCCTTTTTTTCTGTATGAAGGAATGGGGAATGATTGATTACAGTAAGAAGGAAATTGTTGCATAGCCCATTGACATCTTTCAGATTTTAGTAATTAAATGCAGTTGTAGTACAAATTACTACAACAAGGGGAAAATCAGTCACAAAATGTTCACCATGGCTCAATAATAGGGCAATTCATTCTTGGGTGGAGAGACACTGATATTTTCAGTACTTCAAAATAATGTCTTTTACAACACAAGGCAGGTAAATTGGGGCTTCAATCTACACTATGGCTCCAGAGTCCACCTCACCATTTGACCATTGCATCCTCCAGGACTCAGTAACAGATGAAGAATAAATCTGTGTTTGGAAAAATGAACCCACCAAGCCCATAATTGGGAAATAACTTGGGAAATCTTATGAAATGGGAATACCTTTCAACAGAATAAAAAAGTGATGTTTTGTTGCAGTAATAAATCAGATCTTGATAAATTTAAACCTCTCATATCTTAGCTAATACAAACATAGACTAGTTGGAAAATACTCACCTTGGACTCTTTCCAACAGAGAGGTGAAACTCTCCAGAACATTCTGAACTGATGCTTTACTGCCATCCTCCTTTTTGATTCAATGAGATGAAAAGCAACACTGACCAATCAAATGTTTAATTAAACACAGCTTTTATCCAACAAAGTTTGAACCATTACATAGTGTTACAAACCTTCCTGAAAGTTGTATACACAAGAGACCAATTCTCTAGCACTTTTTACAAAATTGGGACCTCCCTGCAAAGTGAGCTGAGCGAATTTTGTTAAATGATAATATATACCACAATAAGAAATACTCACTTTTAAGCGATTCACAAGAAGGTCATTTTCAATTACCCACTCCTTTATGTCAAGGTTCATAAAAGTTGCTGAAATAAAGTAAAACACTGGTAAACAATAAAACATAGCAAAAAAGTTTAGACCATGATTATTCCATCATTAACTCTTACAAGCCATAGCAAGTGTGATAATCTAGCTGAGGCCTCATCTTGATCCTCTAACTCCCTGAAGTGATTAACAGATAATAAGAATACTCAAACTTATCAGGAATAAGTTGTTATCATGATTTGACACCAAATTCTCATAACTAACTTACAAGGAAATGCGTAGCAGTTAGGGTCTGCTTCAATTTTTTGGTATCACCTGAGGAGGTTCTCATAGATGAAACTAGTTTTAAGATCCCAGTTTTAGTTAAGTGTGTTGAAAGTAAACAAAAATAAGGATTTTCCTGTGTAAGGTGATATTAAGTAGTAATTTCTGGGCTTTGACATCTGTTGAATCTCCCAGAAATTTGCTGGTAAAATTGAGTTAAGAAGAATTCAGATAAACTGACTTATCTCAGCTGACTTACACTACTTGAATGTTAAAGCCAATAACATCACTTCGAAGCCGACCAAAACTTTAATTCAACTGGCAAACAACTCCTCACCTGAGTCTGATCATGAATGATATAAGGTTGTTGAACATCATTCACTCCAACCAACAATGGTCCATTTCCAGACTACTCACACACAGACATCAAATTACATGATCACCTGTAACTCTAAGGCTTAAACCATATACAGTAGTGTTTTTTATTACCTTGTTTTAAAAGTTCCACATACTCTATGAGATGGTGATGTGAAGCTTCGAGAGAAAGGCTACCTCTATGTGACTGTTTTAAGCTCTATCAAAAGATAACTTGATTTTATAATTAGGTTTTAAGTTCATTAAATATCATATTTTATTCTCAAGTTTATATTAAGTAATATTATTGAGTGAGGTTGGGCATGATATCATGACTTATCAAAACTGAGGTCTGAGGTAAAACAGACATGTTGTTTGATAAGTCATGATATCATGCCAAAACAGATCTCAATATTTGTTTCATTATGCGTGACATTCAGCCATTTAAGGTTTCTCTGAGTTTCCAAAAGTTTGAGAACACTACATGGACAAGGGACTTGAAAACCATGCAGACTTTAAACTCTACATGATAAATGCAATATCTGCTGCAGATATTGGGTTTTATTAAAAGCTGGATCATTGGATAATGCAATTCAAGAGCTTTCATTGGCTTAACTATCATAGGTTATGAGCCATTATACTGTGCACCTTCATTAGACAAGTTAAACCAAAAGTGATTTTGTATATTGTAGCATTCTATTTGTTATTAAAAAATAATGTTGTGAAGATTTATCTATATTTTAGGGCATTTTTAGTGAAACAATTATTCCACTTGCACTTGTTGGATATGAGATGATTATAGCCAACTGGGCTCTATAGGCCTTGTTAACTATCTATCGCCTCATACCCAATGAGGGTTCATGGAATAATTGTTAAATAATGTCAACTTCACATGCCATTGTATATTGATTGAATACTCTAAACCAATCAGATTTTTCCTAATAATTCTGACGCATAATAAGTAGATTTCATGAAAGCAATCAGCACCATGTCAGCAAAAACCCCTTCTACATTTACTCTGAATGCATGTATAACAAAAGTGCAGAAACTCCACAAAAATGAGGGGGAAGGGGTGAAAGTCTTCAAAGAGGATAGGCAAAGGTGAGACTGTCGGTTGATAGTAAAAAGGTATATATCTTCGTAATCGCAACTTAATTTCATTGTTCACAACCCCTTGAATACAGTTCTTGAATAAAGAAAACAAAAGATTTCCTTAGGGACTAAAGCTTTGTTTTAGAATAATATGGGAGTAACCGAAATCTCTCCTCCATTCAATGAGCTGCAAATGTTACAATTTGCAGCTTAATTAATGAATAAGAGGAGATGGCATGCAGCCACCGATCGTAAATATCAAATACCATAGAATACCCGATGCTCAGCGTCCATTTTTTCGAACATCTTCTCCTCTAATCCTCTGAGCTCTTCTTTCAAAGCAAATTCTCCTTTGATCATGATAGCTCGCCGAATATTTAAAACTTTCACGCTCAGTCTTTCAAGCCAAAACCTCCCGTCATTTGTTGACCTCTACGATACCCTTTGTGTGACTTATACGAAACCCTTTCGTTCCTACCCTCACTCCCCTCCCCGAGAAAAAAAAAGCCCGCCATTTGATTCATTGGTGGGAAGCAAATCACTTTTCTGCTTGCTTGTTTTTGAACTTCGAATTTTCCTCGAATTCGGCTTGTAACAGATCTAAATTTTACGAGCCTTGAGGAAAATAAATAGAGTGTCTGCATTTACATTCTAGTAGGGTTGAAAAGTTATCTTTTCCCTCTTTCTTCTTACAATGGCGGGTGGTCGAGAGAGAGCTGTGGCAGAAAGAAGCCTCGTTTGTTTGTTACAAGCTGTGGAAGGTCATAGGACCATTGTGGAATTACGAAACGAGTCATCGGCTGAAGGACTGATTGAAAATGTTGATGGTTTTATGAATGTCAGAATGTCAGATGTCAAGTTTACTAAAGGAAACGGTGGTGATGTAGTGGACTTTCCGACTATGTTTATTCATGGAAGACAGATTCGATATGTTCAGATACCTGATTACATCGATATGAGGAAAGCCATCGAAGAACAGTTGGCCAAAATAGGAAGGACGAGGAAACCTCCCCCCAGAAGAATGAAAAAGGCGAGAGGAAAAACGTGAAGGTAACTTCACGTGGCCAAAGAGACCAGTTGTAGAGAAATATTACAAGTAAGCTTGAGATCAATTGCAAAGAAGAAATTGTAAAGTGTAGTCAGTGGTTGATCTTGACTTGTGAAGTTTTTCTTTATTTTGTTTTGCCATACCCCTTTTTTATTGTTGTATCAGTAAAACTTAACGGGTCGTTAATTTTTGATTGTGTCAAAAATCTTGTCAATGTATATATCGCGCAGCGTAAAATGGTTGAATTTAATTACCTCGAGAGTAAAAGGTGTTTGGGGGGGGGGGGGGGGGGGGGGCAGCCCGAAACAAGTTAACTTAATTAAATCTGCTATCTTTGGTTTTTATTTCTAAAACTTTCATATTAAGTAGGCAGCTGCAAAAGATTACAATCAGAATATGTTTATTTATTTATTTACATTGTAAATACTTTAGGCGTGATATTTCAGAAATCAGAAATGTGATTTACAGTGTCCATAGCATGGAAAAAATCTTTTAATACCAGACTTGACTGTACTCCATTACAAAATGTTTTTACTGTTAAAAAATCAAAAAATATGTTTCCATGAAAACATTGTGGAGTTGAAAATTTGTTTTCAAATATTTATGATTTTACGTAGACATTTTTGAGAAACATTGACCCTCTCCCCTTTCACTAAATTTGCTTCTATAGTGTTGTTAATATGATGCACTAAGCTCTGGATAATATTCAAAACTAGTGCCCAGCGGCAAGACATTGGGTATGCGTGGATGGTATGTGGTATTTTTACTGATGGAAGGCAGCTCAGGCCAGTCAAACTGAAGTGTTGTGGCGTGTTTTTCTCTAAACAGCCGTCTCTTCTGGGATCTTAATTCAACATCAATAGTTTCAGGATTCCTTTCTAGCTTACTCCACTCTTCATGGTCAATGTCTGAGTCATTGTAGATTCCTTTCATACGAAGCCTAGGTGAGAATGAGAAGCAGAAACAATTTTAAGGTTTAAAAATTTGGCTTTTCAAACAATCTACAAGATGCTAATTTTAAGTTCAGAGATTACATTACATTTAAACCAAGGCCATGCATTTAATGAAAACAAACAGACCATTCAAAGCCTCTTTTTTTGTAAAATTTTGTCACTTAAAAATTTTTTGAGTATGAGGAAACACTGAGTAAAAAGAGTGACACTCTTTTACTCAGCTTTGCTGTTACAGTGTTTTATATTCTTTATTAACCAACAGTCCACCAGTAAATGCAACTGAAAGAAGCATACAGTTTTCCCAATTCATAGTTGCACTCCCACAACCCACCAGCTATGATGTGAAAGTACTAAAACACAAATGGTTTGAATTTGACTTTTAAAACAACACCATAGTTATGTAAACACCATTGGTGAAGGAACAAGTTATTTCAATTTTTCATATGGAAGTGAAATTTTCAGAACCTTTTTTTTCAATTCTGCCCTCTGAATGGTGTTATCAAACTGGCTAAAATTTATTGTATATCAATTTTGGGGAGATCATGTCATCTTGTGAATTAGTGCAGTAGTAAAGACTGACCCGCTTCTTCTCCTAACACCACTGTCGATATCATGTAATTGCATTCTTAGCCAAGTGTTACACTCAGTGCCATGCCGACCCAGAGGCACCAGTGGGGCTGAAGGGAGGTGGATCTCTTCTAGTTGTTTGTCACTCATTGTATCTCCTGTGATGCACCTCACCATTGTGCGATCTTCCTCCAATCTTGTTGTTCCTTGAGATAATAGAGGGTCATCTAGTTTCTGTGTTATTGCCTGAAAACATCCATCAAATATCAGTTATTATAAGAGCCTTCATTAACCACTTAAGATACTTTAACTGTTGCCAACAGTAACTTATCGAAATGATTTGGATTTACAAAATAGTACCAACTGTTAGTTGATTAGATCTGTGTTTATTGTAGGTAATACAAATTGTACATTGCAGTATTAATGTCTAAATTGAGGTCTGTTTGTGTTACTCTGCATCACTTCATGAAACAATGTGTATACTTCTCAACATTTTGATGAAATTTTAAAGCTACTGTGTTAATTACTGGGTTACCAGTTACTTGTGTGTTTGACCCAAGACAACAAGGTGCATTATTTTTTATAATTTCTGAATCTTTTCCTTTTAGGTATGAAAAGATGAGTGCTCAAAATGAAATGCAAGAACAGGTACTGGGTGGTAGAGTGTCTCACTTTGAACCATCAAACAATAGGAAATGTTTCAAATGTGAGTGGTCAGACTCTCTGAAAGAGCTTGGCTTGTCTACAAAGGCCAATTGGGCATCATTGTTTTCTCTGTTGTCAGAAAGGTTCTCACCTTAAGTGGTGCAGGCCGGTTGGCATTAAGAACTAGTGGATTGTATTCCTCAGGAGACATCACATCTAGGAATACTACACCCTGAGTAAAAAGGAATCAATATCAAACTGTTAGTGATGGTAATGACATTTACATGTGTGCTCAGGAAATTTACTCAATTCTAGTGTATTTCATAATTTACCGACACATAGAGATCTGAGTGTTTCTATAATTGTCAGAGCTTTTTTTCATGATACCAATTTTTGGAATTAATGTGTTTTATTTATCTTAAGTTTGGAGAGACTGCAGATAGCAATCCTGTCTTACACTATTTTAGCTATTCTTTCTTAGCTCTACAAAGTCTAATTTTCCTTTAAAAAAAATCATTGAAAATAAACAGTGATATATATATATATATATATAGGGACACACACACACATATATATATATATGTATATTCTCACCTTTTTGTTACTATAATCGAGATATTTCTTGTAAATATTCCTTTTTCTTCTATCCAAGTGTCTGTAGTTTGGGCCATTCATTTCTTCATCTATTTTTTCCTAACAAAATATTTTAATTGATTATTTAATTGTGACATAACAGTCAAAATCAAAATCAAAACTTTAATGGGGCAATACAACTTTTGTGAGATGGTATTTTCTGTAGTTATGATCTGATGTTGGTTTTCCAGGCAGTTACACTGTTTGTTTTCACTTAACAACTGAGTTAGAAATAATGTAGCTCAGTCCATCAAAATGTAGCTGGAGAACCTTGCACCATCACCAGAAAATTGCACAGTTGCCAGAGAATTCTGTGGTTTCTCATCTATTTAACACCCAGTGTTCTTGGGCAAAAGTCAAACTGTGTAAATCAGCTCAACAAGGCTTTGAGTTTGACCTCATACACACCTCCACAGGTTGTTTCATGGTTATGCTATCATCACCAGTTATTAGTTTTGTGCTTAAATGCATCTTGTACTTGCTCTCTTAACCATTCAAATGCAATATTTACAATGGGCTGCAAATAATAAAGCTTGAGCATCAGCTTTTAAATAATATGTATTTGACTTACCTTGACAGGACTGTACACTCGCTCACTCCATTTCTTGAAAAGCATTTGTTTCTTTCTTCTGTCAAGGGCTTCTTTCTGGTCAATAAAACTGTCAACATCCTGTTGAAAGCAAAAAGTAAATGAGCTAATGCATGAGTCAATTTTAAGATGGCCCAAAGAGTTGTTTGTTGACAGCCACAACCCCAATGTGTAGGAATGGGAACAGGGGGAGAGGAAAAGGATTGAACAAAGGATAAGATTGAAAGCAGCCAGAGTGGTTGATGATTTTAATTACTTGCAAGTTTTGCATAATTGAGTATGAGCCAATCAGGATCAAGTAATTTGTTTAGATATGAGTTAAAACAATCATGGTTTCACTACTTCTTTAAGGGTGGTGGTTACACTATAGGTTAAGTTGTGACAATTTGCAAACAGACTTCACCTGTGTGAGTTCTTTGCTTCAGTAGGGCAACTCAAAGAGAACAAAATTGTAGAGGCAAGCGTCTATTTGCAGTAGTTAAGTTTGTCAATATGTTGTTGATAAAGAACTTAGTTTGAGCAATCAAGAAAAATATGATTATTTTGATCAGGTCACTAAGTTTCTCGACACTTCCTAAATGTGCATCCATATTCTATGCTGGTATATCTCTAGCGTTTTGCGGCAAAAAAAAAAAGCACTCTTCCCGTGACCGTTGGTTGAGCATAATAACGTTCCTAATGTCAACCAACACTACCTTTTAATTAAGGTATGCTAATTAACACCTTAAAAATAAATAATTACCGTTCTTAGTTGTCACTCTCTGCACAACGACTAAAGCCGTAACTTAATACCAGGATTATCTAACGGGACGGAAATTGCTACTTACTCACTTACAGACTTACCTTTACAAAAGTATTCTCGTTATCAAGGAGCGTCGTGTACATATTTTTAGTGGCTCGTGACTCAAAGTCGGTCCTTTCCTACAGAGGGAGGATAACCGATTCATCAAGATTAAAATTTAAAATACTGGAGAGTTCCTTTAGTATCCGCTTTGTTGATTTGCGCGGTTTGAAGGCCTCTGTGTATTTCGGCACTCATGCTGAGATGAGCTTTTGTCTGAGTCAATAATACAAATACGAGAAATTCTTTCGAAGTTAATTATTCTCTGAACAAACTTCTCCATTCCCTTTTTTTTATTATTTTTTTAAAAGCCCTTCAATTTGAAATGAAACGGGGCAATATTTTAGGGCTAAACTTAAGGTTTTCTTTTGGATCGAGTGTTTCAATGAGGGTTCTAGGGACTCAAGTTACTTTTAATTCCGGTGTATTTATAACTTAACTGATAACGATTACATGGGCTGGACTCAATGATAAGACTACCTGAATATTTCGAACGGATTTTTCATTCAACCAGGTCTGAATTCTGAAAGAATGGTCCGAAGGACAGGCTGACTTGGCACTGGAAGCTCTTACTTCCGAGTACGTTCCAAAAGGTTTTAGTCTCTCGACTGACGACGCCGATAAAGCTCGTCTGTGATTATCCTGCAATGAAGTTAGCCATGAGAAGTCACACAGTATTGAGGTTTAACAGATTGAAAAAGGGTTGCTTTAACTTTTATCAGATATACGTAGATAATGTACTTAAATATTGAAAAATTACTTCGTCATCACCTTGGAGAGTTCATGTTTGCCATTGTCGTCCAATAGCTCGTCCACAATATCGTGAGTGTGAACAGAAATACGGCCGTTAACGGGTCGTTTTGGTCGAGACATCATTCTGTTCATTTGCTGCCTCGTCCAGTTGGATTTTAGGCCTCACGAGGACAATTCTTTCATAAGCAGACTAGAGATCAATCACTAAAAAGTTACCAACAAAGTCACAAATATCACAGCTTGAATTGCTTGAGGACTTCACGTGTAAATTATGAACTGTTCCCTTGGCAACGAATCAGCTGTGTTTTGTAAACGTTCTTCTCCCTTGGGAGGGTAGGTGACTTTGGATACTTAATTTCATGAATTCAATCTTTTTGCAAAATCACTTTATCCTAGTATGCATATATTCAAAATTTTTGGAGAACGATACGCAAAAGCCACATCTATTCGGTTTCATTTCTTTATTTTCCTTTGGAAAGAATGTTTAGAATCAGCAGCAGGTTATCTCTACCCTACCCCTGTTAGTATCATTTATGGAACTCGTCGACCAGTTGGTAGTCAGTGTCCAACTTCGCCTTTTCCTCGTAAAGATGTGAGAAGAACCAGGCTTTTCTAGTCATTTTAGTCACCATGTTGTAGAACTGACTTCATTTCCAGAATGAATCAGCTTCAAAGCCTTCTTCATGATTCTTTGATAGCAACGGGTCACGTTCAACATTGTGCTATAATTCGACGAAAGGACACTTCGCTCCGAGCCAGCACTGTCGGCTTTTCGGTAAGAATAGCGTACTTTTTGCAAAGATTGTAGACTAAGAGAAAGACAAATTACTTTTAAATGTGTTATTATAACTGTTTTTAGATCCGATGTAAGGCTGTAATAGCCCTATATTAGTGGAAAACGATGTTTAAGAATTGCCGCCATATTCTGTTTGCAAGAAAGTCAAACTCTTTGGCGTTTGTTGTGTGCAAGTGTAAGGCTCTTTCTTGCAAACACTGAAATTCCTTTATCAAAACGCGGAATTGGCATATTATTTTTCTTCATTATCATTGTCAGACACCTTTCTGCCCTCAGAAGGAGGAAAATTGAAAAGAAAGTGGCAGTCGATTTGACGGGGGCGAATTTCTCTATAGGGGGAGGTAAGAATTCTGTCAATTTCCCCCAACAGTTTGGCACTGCCTTTTTATTATCCGTTGTAAGGATTTCAGGTCAGTTTCCCTAAGGGCAACACAAGCGACTTAGATGGAATTTGAACCTGGGTCATTTGATTTGGAGTTTGGCTAATGCTATACATATGTATCTTACACTTTTGCTGTTTTGATTCTAAATATTTGTGTGTATGGTGTAAATATTTTGATTTTCAGCCATCTTTGGACAATATACATGCATTGGTTCATTCCTTTACAAACAGTGCTCACGCCAGAAAGGAGGGCCTTAAATTCCAGGACACAATTTATGAATGTGTCAGGGCTGATAGATTCTCTGTTTATGCAAAACACGTGAGTTCATTTCTAAAAATAAAATAAATAAAAACAAATGGCTACTGGGTACTAATGGGACACAATTTATGAATGTGTCAGGGCTGATAGATTCTCTGTTTATGCAAAAAATGTAAGTTCATATCTAAAAATAAAATAATGAAAAACAAATGGCTACTGGGTACTAACATGCCTAAAGCTTCAAGTTATATGCAAATCCTCTAGCTGTACATGTAGAGTAGCAACCATTTCTAGTTGCAAAATAGATCTCAGGTTCATAAATACCAATCTTTTATTATTATTATTATTATTAGAACCCCATGTAAGCTTTGATATGTCAGTATATTCCCACTTGACTTGTGAAGGCAGCAGTTTTAGAAACATGCTTATAAATTTAAATTTCCTTGTTACATAATTCTCAACAGACACCTGCCAAACTTGTTTTTGAAGTTTGTTCCAAATGCCAAGCTTGTCCCAAAGTTATTCATGTTGAATTATGGCTTTGTATACCTATAACTATGAATATGGAAGTAAAGCTGGCAAGTCTGGAAGAGTAGTCACTTGATAACATCACCATACATGCCATATTTTGTACCTTATTTATGACAAGTACTACTTAATTTATTTGAATCATTTTTTTTTAATAAAAGTTATTTAGAACAAAGATTGCATGAGTAAAAGCTTTTTTTCTTTGAAAGGAAAACAATGGAATAATCTTGGTGCGTACAGCTACTTTGCTGTTGGTGGGCACATATACACCAGAAATGAGTCCAAGTATTTGTGTTGAGGCAGTTGAAAAACTAGGTTAGTTTTACTACCTGTTTGCATGAAAAATGACAATTTAATTTTGTTTGGAGTACTTTGAAGAAATAGAGTCCCATACTTGCCTCTGGTTATCAAGATTGCCACTATACTAATGTTTTTTTTGTCTCTTTTTTACTCTGCAGCAGACTATTTCAGGGAAAAAGGGAAGTGATCAGTGCAACACAAATCACTATCCCATATGTTATAAGACAGAGTGTTCCAGGATTTTTTAGAGTTGAAATTTATTGATTGATCCAGCACACATTTCTTGTAGGAACGAATATGTGATTCACATTTGAAACAATTTGTTAGAGCCATGGGAGAGGAAAACAATCTGCAACCAATATTGACAGAAAGATAAAGTGAATTCAGCACAACCTATGCAAGAAAATATGGTAGTTTATTTATTTTAACTTGAAAACTTTTCAATTACCTTTTACAATTATAATAGAGCAATTTAATAGTGTAGCCTTCAACTTAAACAACATGTTTACACAATTCCTTGATGATGTACAGTGTGCTTTGTTGAAGAAAATCCTAGAAAACAGTGTTTATTATTATTCTTATCTCTAAGTTGTATTAATTCCTGGTTAGTTATTTCTTAAGGGATCCCTCTTAGGAAACACTATTAATTTTACCATGGTGCAATTTTGAAACTTGAAATCTTCTGAAAAATTTGGTTTTTCTTCACAAAAAAACAAAATTTTGGCCAACACTTTGAACAAAAAAAAACTCCATCTAAAAGTTTGAATAAAGGAAATAATATGAACCATACTGATGTAACTTGAGGGAAAAAGAAAAACAAAAAGTGTCAAGAATATATGACAATGAAACTATTTAAATTATAAGAAGATCTTAGGCATCATGAAATCTAAAGCCACTTGATGGGCACAGAGATGGACAGAAATAATTTTTGACTGAAACAATGTGTGGAAAAAAGGCTTTAGTGATTTCGAGGTAACATCTACTTCTCCCATCTGTTTCACAAGAGACTACAAAACAATTTGGAAGGAGAATGTAGTCAATCAGAAGTCACTAAGGCTTTTTTTCATCTACTCTTTAATGTAACTTCAAGTAGACCTGCTTTCCCAGAGTAATCCATCATGTAAGTCAATACAAACCAAAAGAAACAGAATAATTCACTTCTACCATTAGCTAGCCATAAAATGCTCTCCCACATTTCCTCCTCCATAAAATTTCCTCAAAAAATACAAAATGGCAAACCAGCCAATAAAATATCATAGTTCACTGTCAGCATGAGCAGAGCCTTCCATAGCTCATCAGCTTGACTCACAAACTGTGATAGCTCTTATTCCTACCCTGCCACCACTTGCACACTAAAATAAAAATCACAGTCAAAAAAGCACCCAAAATTATTCCTCCAACAAATGAGGCACCATCAAACTTTCTACTGCTTTCCCTTGTGCCAGGCTCAGTAGTGACAGGAGCTGATGTTGTTGTTGGGGTTGGTTTAGTTGAAGTGGAACTTGGGATGGGCGTTGTTGTTGTGGATGGTAGTATCCTTGTAGTTGTACTAGGTGTGGAAGTAGTACTTGAATTGCTTATAGATTCTGCTGTGGTAGTTTGACCTGATATAGCTGAGAAGAAAAAAGTTTGCATTGATCATTATTTTTATTTAGAAATAAAAATATGTCTAGTACAGACTGCCTTTCAAGTTACAGCTAGCCACTAAATTTTCTCGTGACTCAGTGATATTCAAGAGATCAAAATAATTTGAATTCAATTGCTTCATTCCTTACAGCGTCACAGGAATTATCTCTTGAAAAAAAAAAAGAAAAGGAAATTTCACATATTCATCTTACACAAACAAGTCCAATTTGTAAGTCGTAATCATTATTATGCCACCTATCAGAGTGAATATGTGTAGGGATATCACATCTTGCTTTTTACAAGTTATGTTAACAGGTGTGGAAATCTGTTCCACCAATGAGAAAGAAAAATACATTTTTTTAACCTTTGGAAAGGGCAATACCACACAAAATTCACTTCCAACTGAAATAAATTTGTCAAATTTTTTTTGAAAGACAGCAGTAGATTAAACTTCACAAACACATGTTAGTGCAGGCAACTTGTGACAACCATTAAAAATTATGGTTAAATGAACATCATAGAAAAAATTGCAAAAGCCAGAATTAAACAAATTTAACAAGAACTGGATAGAGTTAAGACATATTGTGGAAAATCCCTTAAGAAGTTAAGCAAACTAAATTCTGGTAAATAGGAGGTCTGTGTTTGGATTTTTCTGTAGTACAGTGCTCAATACGTAGAAGTAGAGTGCGATATATATTGAAATAGGGGAAAAATAAAGAGACTATACTTTCCTCCCAACAAGCCTGTTTCATGACTGCTCACTCATGTGGGGATTTTATTGCCCAGAATGTTTGTAGCCATCATTTATATACTTTACAAATTTGTGGCGTGGTAGTAAATTTGAATGCATTGTTCAATTGTTATGCAGTAATGCTTTGTTTCTGTGGCAGCATGAGGACACAAGTTCATTATGTTTATTGAGTGATGATAATTCAGGTAGGCAGATGATAAGTAATTTTTCTTTGAGGCAGAGGTTGCATCTTTTGCTTATGCTGTTGTAGGGTGATCTTGATGAAAGGATGCGCCATGAAATTAAGTGGTTATTGTTATTTTCCTTAAGGGTCCAGATATGTTTGCTAGGATTGGTAGAGTTTCTGTGTTTTGCATGTCAGAATGATG